TTCTTTCTTTCTTTCTTTCTTTCTTTCTTTCTTTCTTTCTTTCTTTCTTTCTTTCTTTCTTTCTTTCTTTCTTTCTTTCTTTCTTTCTTTCCCTCCTTTTTTTTCCTTATTTATTTCCCTCTTTCTTTCATTTTCCTTTTTCTCAAGGAGGATCTGAGAATCTCCCCCGTCTTCTCTAACCCACCCCCCCTCCAACCTACACCCATTTACACTTCAAAAGAGGCGCCCGCCTCTCTGCGGAAATTTCAAGAAAAATAAACTTTTGGGGGGAGTTAGGGCGATAGCGATCTCTGGATCTGCTTCATTAGCCGCCTTTCTCTAGCTGATCAAGCCTAAACCTTCGCTCTTGATCCCGAGCTCGGCTCCCGGCCCGGCGCACGGGGCGCCGTGAGGGGTGCGGGGAAGGTTGGGGCCTTCAGCAAGATCGTGAAAAAATAATGACCGCGGCCGTCGCCCCCGAGCCAGAAGTTGCCCCCACGTCGCCTCCCCGCGCTCTATGGACTGGCGCCCGGTTAAGCGCAGTCCATTGCCGTAGACTCGGCCTTCTTGGGGGAGCGGGGGCAGTTTGGTGCTGTTCCCTGCTCACCCAGCAGCTCGGCAAACGCTCTCCTGATTTCGCCAACTCTGCGAGCGTTTTGTAGTTAGTGCGTTAGAGCGTTAGTAGTTTGGGAACGGTTGTTCAGTCCCCAATATTGCCCTGCGCTGCCTTTACGAATTTACATGATAAATCTACCCCAATCATCCATATGTATTTTTCTGACCTGTGACAATTCCTTTAATGTCGCATGAGGAAATAAGGGGCAAAATCCCTGGCCATGAAAGGAAAACCGGAGCTGGGCATATGAGATTCTGCGGGAATGAATCCTGTGTGTGTGCGGGGGGTGTCGTTTTGATGAGATCTTCGCGGGGGACTTGGGGGTGCCTGGAGCTGGGCCGTGGCTCCGACTCGCTCCATGCGGGGCCGCKGGATCACAGAGGGTCTGGGGAGCAGCCCCGACTCCCCCAGCCCGCCCCGCTCCGGCCGGGAGGCTCGAGGGGAGGACTGCGCTGCCGGGCCCAGGTTAGGAGATACACCCAAAGTTTCGTTGTAAGCGAACAATTAAAAGGAAGGAAGAGAGAGAATGAAGAATAAAGGCCCTCATCCTTCCCCTCCCCCGTCTCCGAGCCCCTCTCCCTCTAAGCACCTCTGGTCACGTTGGAGGATGAGTTTTTGGAGAGCTTCTGGTACAATATGGAGCACCACGGGCTGCAATTTCACACTCCACAGCACATTCCCCCTAAAGCTACTTTCCTTTTTTTTTTTTTTTTTTTTTTTTTTTTTGTACTCGTCTAATTTCTCC